CTCCATGTGTTTGTATATTTTGTAGAATTTCTTAAGTTGTTAATTTCCAGCTTCATGCCATTGTGGTCAGAAAATACACATTATATGATTTCAGGTTTTTTTTATTGGTTGAGGCTTGTTTTATGACCTAGCATGTGATCTAACCTAGAGAAAGTTCCGTGCAGTGATGGAAAGAATGTGTATTGCAGAGCTGTGGGATGAAATGTTCTGTAGATATCGGGTAGGTCCATTTGGTCTGCAATATAGATTAGTTCTGTTGTTTCTTTGTTGATTTTTTCTTTGTCTAGGTGATCTGTCCATTGACAAAGTCCCCCATGGTTATTGTATTGAAGTCTCCCTGTAGTTTCATTAATACTGCTTTTAAATAGCCAAGTGCCATTGTAATAACTACATAGACATTTATATAGTCACATCTTCCTGTTGAATTGATTCTTCACATAATGCTCTTCTTTGTCTCTTTTAACAGTTTTTATGTTAGTTTATGTTGTCTTTATTAGGATGGCTACTCCTGCTCATTTTTTGCTTTGTTATCATTGAATGTCTTTTTTTCATCCTTTCACTTTCAATCTATGTGTATCTTTGTTGGTGAGATGTCTTTCTTGTAGGCAGCAAATAGAATCTTCTTTTTTAATCCATTCATCCAGTCTGTATCTTTTAATTAGGAAATTTTGGCCATTTACATTCCAGGTTATTATTAATAAGTAATGACCTGGTCCTGCCATTTTCCCATAAGTATTACTGTTATTTGTTTTGGATTTTCTTTGTACTTTTCCTAGATTTTCTTCTTTTAACATCTTTCTTGATGCTGACTGTCTTTCTCTGTTACTATGTGTAGCACATTAAGTATCATTTGCAAGGCTGAATGAGTGGTAACAATTTATTTAAATTTCTGTTTGTTTTGGAAGGTCTTTATTTCACCTTCATTTTTAAATGAGAGCTTTGCAGGGTACAATATTCTAGGTTGACACTTTTTCTTTTAGGACTTGGACTATGTCTCTCCATTCTCTCCTAGCCTGTATGGTTTCTGATGAGAAATCAGCTGTCAATCTGATTAGAGATCTTTGAAGGTTATCTGGCATTTCTCTCATGCATATTTAGGATATTTTCTTTTTTTTTTTTTTTTAAGATTTATTTCATTAAAAGTGAGTTATGGCTGGTGCCGCGGTTCAATAGGCTAATCCTCCGCCTGCGGCGCTGGCACCCTGGGTTCTAGTCCTGGTCGGGGCACCGGATTCTGTCCTGGTTGTTCCTCTTCCAGTGCAGCTCTCTGCCGTGGCCCGGGAGTGCAGTGGAGGGTGGCCCAAATGCTTGGGCCCTGCACCTGCATGGGAGACCAGGATATGCACCTGGCTCCTGGCTTTGGATCAGCGCAGTGTGCCAGCCGCAGTGGCCATTGGAGGGTGAACCAACGGAAGGAAGACCTTTCTCTCTCTCTCTCTCTCTCTCTCTCACTGTCCACTCTGCCTGTAAATAATAATAATAATAATAATAATAATAATAATAATAAAAGAAAGTGAGTTACACAGAGAGAAAGGGAGAGGCAGAGAGAGAGAGAGTGGTCTTTCATCCACTGGTTCACTCCCCAAGTGGCCGCAATGGCCGGAGCTGTGCCAGTCTGAAGCCAGGAGCTTCTTCAGGGTCTCCCCACGTGGGTGCAGGGGCCCAAGGACTTGGGTCATCTTCTGCTGCTTTCCCAGGCCATAGCTGAGAGCTGGATTGGCAGTGGAGCAGCCAGGACTTGAACCGGTGCCCATATGGGATGCTGGCACTGCAGACAGTGGCTTAACCTGTTACACCACAGCGCTGGCCCCAGGATCTTTTCTTTTACTTTTGAAATTTGACCGTCATGTGTCATAGTGAAGATCTTTTCTGATTGTCTCTGTTAGGAGTTCTATGTGTTTACTGTACCTGGATGTCCCTTTCTCCAAATTATGGATGTTTTCTTCCATTGTCTTTTTTTTTTTTTTTTTTTAAGATTTATTTATTTATTTGAAAGTCAGAGTTACACAAGGAGAGGAGAGGCAGAGAAAGAGAGGTCTTCCATCCACTGGTTTACTACCCAATTGGCCACAGCGGCTGGAACTATGCTGATCTGAAGCCGGGAACTAGGATCCTCTTCCGGGTCTTCCACACGGGTGCCGGGGCCCAAGGACTTGGGGCATCTTCTACTGCTAACCCTGGCCATAGCAGAGACCTGGATCGGAAGTGGAGCAGCCGGGTCTTGAACTGGCGCCCATATGGGATGCCGGCACTTCAGGCCAGGGCATTAACCCACTGTGCCATAGCGCTGGCCCCTTTTCTATTGTCTTTTCATCTATTCTTATTTTCCACACCTTCAGGAACTCTTAACACACATATGTACAGCTTTCCACTTTATATTTTTTATTTGATATATTGAATTCTTCATTTCCCAAAATTTCAGTTTGATTTCTCTTCGATATCTCTTATCTCATGACAGAATTTCTCACCTATGTCATGTATGGATTTTTTTTAATTTTTGTAATTTCTTCTCTGTGCTTTTACTAATCTTACGATAATTCTTTTGAATTGTGTTTCAGGTATTTCATCAGTCTTTCTCTCTCTTTTTTTTTCTTTTTGTCAGGCAGAGTTAGACAGTAAGAGACAGAGAGAAAGGTCTTCCTTCTGTTGGTTCACCCCTCAAATGGCCGCTACAGCCGGTGCGCTGCGCCAATCCGAAGCCAGGAACCAGGTGCTTCCTCCTGGTCTCCCATGCGGGTGCAGGGCCCAAGCATTTGGGCCATCCTCTACTGCCTTCCCGGGCCACAGCAGAGCGCTGGACTGGAAGAGGAGCAACTGAACAGAACTGGTGCCCCAACTGGGACTAGAACCCAGTGTGCTGGTGCCGCAGGCGGAGGATTAGCCTATTGAGCCGCGGTGCCAGCCTCATTAATCTCTTTGTTGTCACATTCAAATGTTGAACTTTTGTTGTTTTCTTTTGGGGAGTCATATTGTCATCTTTGGTCATGTTTCTTAAGTTTCCTTTTTTTTTTTTTTTGATATATGTAGAAACACTTGTTGGCTTTCTCCCGTGGGCTTTTATCTTTGAAATATCCCTCTATGGCTTAGGGGAGTGTATGCTTCCTGGGATATCCAGAGGTGTGTTCTCAATGGGCTGGGGAGCTCTGGCCAGTGTTTGCAGATAGGGCAGAAGTCCAGAGTGACACCCTAGTTGGGTGTGGCAGATATCCTCTGTTTTCAGAGTGGGGAGGGTATGATTACTTCCCCTGGCATGATCATAGCCTCACAGCCTCTTTGTCAAGGTGAACCCAATGCCCACAGTGAGCGCACAGTGGTATGCATCCCACCCACACAGGCACATGAACTGTACAAAGGATCTGTGTGCTCCTTAGTATGAGCACAGAACGTTCTGTGATGACCCACCACAGCAAACAGGGAACTCTGAGCTTCTGAAATCAGATGAAGTGCTTGCCCAGAGACCACCCCATCTCACCATAACAAAATTCCCACAGTGATAGTGCACAGGGCTCCCATAGTCATAGGGTGTAGTCTCAGTCCTGCGAGACTCAGCTGTTCACAAGGAGAGCTGCAGCATTCCAACAGCTAGCTGCCTACCTGATAGTAGTTGATAGGCAAGTTGAGTTGTTGGGCAAGTTGAGTCACAGCACCTTAATAGAGTAAGGGTAGAGGATTCCTCACAGGCCTACATGGGTGCCCAGCCCCCTGCCAACCCTCTAGGCCAGACTCAGTCAGTGGAGACCATGGATTTATTCTTATTAAAATCACCCAGGAATGTGCGGGCCACAGCAGCCTCTACTCACTTTATTAAGATGGCGTTTCCCCATTGTAGTTGCCCAGCTCCTTTGTGGGTAGAGAGGAAGAAAGCAACAAACTCTTAGAGCATGGGGTTAAGTGGGCACTGTATACCCCGCTAATGCTTCAGGCTAGACTGAAAGTCAGCATGACTGTGAAGTTCTTCCTCAGGCAATATTAGCCAGGCTTTGGGAGGCACCAGCAGTGTCCCCTTGCTGCTGCGTAATTGTACTGTACCTGCTGCTCCACAGCATCTATTCTTTCTATAGAATTTCCATGACAGACATTTCAAATTGTCCCCTGTGAATGCAGTTCCTCCCCTTCTCCTTCTCCCCCTCCCCTCCCCTCCCCCTCTCCTCCCCTCCCCCTCCCCCTCCCCCTCCCCTCCCCTCCCCTCCCCCTCCCCCCCTCCCCTCACCTCCCCCCCCCTCCCCTCCCCTCTCCTCTCCTCTCCTCTCCTCTCCTCTTCTGTTCTCTTGTCTTCCTGGGTCAAAATGAGTATGTCTTTTCCTTACTCAGCCATCTTGGATCTCCTTCTACAGTGATGATTATTAAGTTTTATCTTATGTGCTTTAAATATGTGTTATTGAAGTTGTAAAGTTATCTTCATATTAATAAAAATAGTTCTGGAAGGGGTAATTGAAATTTTTAATTGGGTATAATGTGAAGCTTTGTGGTTCTAATAAGTAATAGCAGATCATAGATCATAATGAAAATCTAAACAAATTATATTTGTAGTTCTTACAAATTGTAGTTCTTGTCACACCTGCAGTTGAACAAAGTTGGGTTGATTGACTTACTGCAGTAAGGAACAGTGAATACCATGGGAAACAGTACGTGTCTCAGTAAGATGTTAGAAACAATCTTTTACGGTGCATCAGCTTGCATTATGTGATTTTGTATCAGGTTCAAGAAAGTGTTGTTTGCTGTGGGTAATGGAATTCTTCTATGCCTTTTTGCCAATAAGGTCATAGGTGGGTCTGACATCAAGAAAGACTGATGAATGTTTATTTTCTTAGAAATGTAAGCTATTAGTAATGAAGGTCTTTTCCTTTAAAGAGTTATTCTAGTGACATCAGTAGGTATCTTTAATTTTGTTTCACTTTTTAAAGGAATTGTACTTATTTTTCCTTATTGCATATTATTCTATTGATATACTTTTTCAGGAACATCTACTAATTTCCACCAAACTAATGCTTTTATTTCAGTTAATGGTCAACCCAGACCCCTTGAATCAAGTCAGGTGAAATACCTCCGTCGAGAACTGATAGAGCTTCGCAATAAAGTGAATCGCTTATTGGACAGCTTGGAGCCACCTGGAGAGCCAGGACCTCCCACCAGTATTCCTGACAATGGTAAACCATGAATCAGCTTAAATTTGATTTATTGTTACATCTTTTCTTGCAGACCTTTTTAGATTTGCTTTTTTTAAGCCCTTTAGTAGGAGTAGGGTGGCATCCTCAGTGTAACTCTTGTTTCTGCCTCTGTGGTAGTGTTCATCGTCTATGTCTGTGTTCTCAAACTTGGCCAGCTGTTCATCAGGCTTACTGGAGGTTTCATTATACCAGTTTCTTCATCTCATTACAAACCTATTGGAGGATAGGGCTTGGAAATCCCATCTTACAGAGTGATGTTTGAGTCTTCTAAAACTAGTCTTACACTAGTTTCATAATATCTGTCGGTTTTCAAACCTCTAACTCATTGAACGCTTTCCGGTGTAATAGGTGATTAATTTTAGAAATTGAAAATTATTTCTTGAAGTATATTATATAGGTTCAAGTAAAAAAAATAGTGTAGTAAAAGCATATAACAATTGTTTGAAACACAATTTTTAATATAAAAAACTGATTTTTTTGCTTTCATTTTATACATGATAGGTACTATTTATGTTAAGATAAAGATAATTAACAAATGGAATGGACATATTTTTGGAAATTTAAGTATATAGTGTGGCTTGAAAAAATATATATATTTTTTTTAATTTATTTGAAAGGTAGAGTCATAGAGAGACAGAGAGAAAGGTCTTCCCTCCGTTGGTTCACTCTCCACATGGCTGCCACGGCCGGCGCTGCGCCGATCTGAAGCCAGGAGCCAGGTGCTTCTTCCTGGTCTCCCATGCGGGTGCAGGGCCCAAGCACCTGGACCATCTTCCAGTGCCCTCCCGGGCCACAGCAGAGAGCTGGACTGGGAGAGGAGCAGCCAGGACTAGAACCCAGCACCCATATGGGATGCTAGTGCTGCAAGGCGGAGGATTAACCAAGTGATCCATGGCGCCAGCCCCTTGAAAGTAGATTTTTAAAAACTACTTTTCTTAATTTTTAAGATTCTTAGATGTCACACTTTAAAAAGCTTGATTTTTTTTTTACATAGTTCTTATTTGCTTATAACTTTTATGTAACACTTTCCGTATTATGGATTTTTAAAAACAAAGTCAGGAATGAATGTTAAAGGGCTTAATGGAGATGATTTTTTTATGAAAAAGTGGCACCTGTAATCCTTGCAACCTTTAGGTTCTGAGATATTCTATTTTTGGCTCCTAAATAATTTTGGAGCCATGGTTTTTTTTTTCTTTAGTTATAGCTTATTAAGAGGCAGATTCCATAATTTCCCTCTTTCTTTCTTCTTCCAGTCATGTGGAATTTGTGTTAATTGCTCCAAAAGTATTTGGTGAGAATATTTTGTAGTTCTACCTATTTTATAACATATTGGAGATTTGCTGGAATCTTATAAAGAAATCTTCTTGGTCACTTTATGATGAAACTCTTTATGGTCAGACATTACATATTCTGAAACCCACCTCTCCAAACAAAAAGGACCAGTTTTAAAGAATCTGATTAAAAATGTAGACCATTTTTCAAGAATTCATAGTTATCTTTAGATGTCTTTATTTTTTAATATTTGACAGGTGGGGTTATAGACAGAGAGAGAGACAGAAAGAAAGGTCTTCCCTTGGTTCACCCCCAAATGGCTGCTATGGCTGGCGTGCTGCGCCGATCCAGAGCCAGGAGCCAGGAGCTTCCTCCTGGTCTCCCACACAGGGCAGGGTCCAAGCACTTGGGCCATTCTCCACTGCCTTCCCGGGCCACAGCAGAGAGCTGGACTGGAAGAGGAGCAACTGGGACTAGAACCCGGCGCCCATGTGGGATGCTGGCGCTGCAGGCGGAGGATTAACCAAGTGAGCCACGGTGCCAGCCCCAAGAATTCATAGGTTCTAATACAACATTTGCATGTAATTTTTGAGAGTTATGTGCTTGTGATGTAGCCTTGGAATTAGAAGAAGGAAGTTGATAAGAAAGATAGCTTGTAGATATACTGTAAAGCGGTGCTTATAGTATTTTGTTCTCCCCTGAGAAATTTAGGAAATATTGGAATACCCTGGAAAACCAAGTTAGGAATGAATGGATGTGTGTATTAGGAGGGCTTATATTTTACTTAGTTTTGTTTTTTGTTTTATTATTTTTGAAATATTTCTTTATTTGAAAGTCAGTAGAGAGAGAGGGTGAGACAGAGGCCTTCCATCTGCTGGTTTACTCCCCAGATGGCTGCAATGGTCAGGGCAGAGCCAGGCTAAAGATTTTCCCACATGGGTGCAGGGTCCCAAACACTTGGGCCATCTTCTGCTGCTTTTCTCAGGCTGGATCGAAAAGTTGAGCAACCAGGAAGACACAAACTCGTGTCCATAAGGGATGCCTGCGTTGCATGCGGCAGCTTCACTCACTTTGCTGTAATGCTGGCCCTGTGTTTTTTTTTTGGCAAGAGAAGTTTTGTACTGATTCCAGGGGTCACACCCATCTATCTAACAACTGTTGGTCATTTACCTGATAACAGAACACAACTGATAATCATCACTGTTAAATAGCCACTTTTTTGTATACATGTTTGTTTTCTTTTGATAACTTTTTTTTGTATTCCTGTTGATAATACAGAGGTTGTTCTTGAATCCCTTTTTTTTACAAGGTAATAGTATAATTGCCTGTTGAATAACTTAGTATACTTAGAAGAAATGTATATTTAAATTAACCTGCCCATAATATTAAACATTTTATTTTTGCTTTAAAAAAAGTACTTTTAAATGGAGAAATATAAGTATATATATAAGTATACATAATGTGAATATTATAGTGAATCCCATGAACTCACATCCAACTTAAGCCATTATTAAATTATTGTCATGTCATATATCCTCCCAGTTTCTCCACCCTTCCCATATTATTCGGAAGCAGATCTCAAACATGCATCATTTTTATCTGTATGTATTTTAATAAGTAATTTAATAAGTAATAAATACTTAAAAGTAAGTATTAGGCATGAATTCTGTTTGACTTGATTTCTATATAATTTTTTTTAAAGATTTATTTTATTTATTTGAAAGAGTTACAGAGAGGTAGACACAAAGAGGTAGAGACAGAGAAAGAGGTCTTTCTTCTGTTGGTTCACTCCCCAGATGGCCACAATGGCCGGAGCTGCACCGATCCAAAGCCAGGAGCCAGGCATCTCCTGCGGGTCTCCCATGTGGGTGCAGGGGACCCAGGAGTTGAGACATTTTCCACTGCCTTCCCAGGCCACAGCAGAGAGCCAGATTGGAAGAGCAGCAGCCAGGATCAGAAGCAGTGCCCATATGGGATGCTGGCGCTTCAGGCGTCAGCCCACTGCACCACGGTGCTGGCCCTGATTTCTATGTAATTTAATAGTGGGCCAACACACAGGAGAAGTCATAAAAGTTGAGAATATAGTTTTAGCTTATTCTTGTACAAAATAAAGCATTAATTCCTATAACTGATCTTTCCTGAGTGCCCATTATGTATCTGATAAAGGATGGGATATATAGGACATAGGGCTCCATAAAAAGGTAAAATATTTTTATTTGTTAAGGAACTTGTAATAATTCATAGGGAAGGACATAGATTTTTCTTTTATTTTAAAGGTAAAAATATAAACATATATAAGGAAGACAAATTATACATAATCCTATATTCAGATATCTAAACAATATTCATGCAAAATGTATTTACTTCCCTGTCTCATTTTTTTTAACTTTATTGAATGTAGATCAAGAGGATACAAGTTTATTGTTTATTCTTGTGTTCTTATAGATACTGTGGATGGTAGGGAAGAAAAACCTACTGCTTCTGATTCTTCTGGAAAACAGTCTACTCAGGTTATGGCAGCAAGTATGTCAGCTTTTGACCCTTTGAAAAACCAAGATGAAATCAATAAAAATGTTATGTCAGCATTTGGCTTAACAGATGATCAGGTTTCAGGTACGTGAATACCTGCATCCCTCCCATATTTCTGTTTCTTCCTGTTTTTCTCCCTTTCCTTCTTTAATAGATGAATAACTTGCATATGGTTCAGTGAACAAATCATTAAGAATTCAGTCCAATAAAGTTTGACAGTTGTATACACCTGTGTGAAATACCAAACAGATCAAGGTGCAAATGATTTCCAGTACTCCAGAAAGCCTTTTTGTACCTTTACCCAGTTCAGTAGCATTCTCCCCTTTAAAGAAGAATCACTATTTGAGCCAAATAAACTTTACTGAAGGTAAAATTTGAAGAATTGTTTTGTAAAAAAATTTGAACTATGTTGTGATTTTATTTCACATTTGTTGCATGGCTTAAGTTATATTTAATAGGTTTAATTATCTCTTCTGACCTGACATTCAAGAAATTAGATTTCTTGTTAACTTGCTTTACTGGGTATGTTAGCTTTGTGTTACTGTAATTAGATACCTGTGTAAGAACTTGAATAAAGAGACAAAGTTTATTTAGCTATGGTTTTGAAGGTTCAAGAGCATGATGTCTGCACGGGCTCAGTTCTAACAGAGGCCCCAGCTGTAGTTACAAAATGGTAGAGCTTGGTGTGTAGAAGAGCCTACATCACAAAACTGGAATTCAGAGAGAGACTGGATCCCATGGTCCCTTACATGGTCTTTGGTTACCTATCAAGTCCTACCTTCCAAATGTTCCAGCACTTCACAGTTACTACCCTGGGGAACATGCTCTTAATTATTGGACATTTGGGAGAACGCTCAAACCATAGTGGTGTAGAAAGTGCTATTATATGAATTAGTGTTTAACCTTAAAAAAACACCTATGCTGGGGTTTGTACTTTATTTTTTGGCCGTCATGTCTTCATTTTTCTGCTTGTTTGTCTCTTTGGGGATTCTAATTTATACACAAAGAGCTTGATATTGTCTCCTGACTCTCTGAGGTTTACATTTCTTCAGTCTTTTTTACTCTGTGTTCTTTAGACTGAATGATTTCTATTGAACTTTCTTCAAGGTTGCTGATTATCTGTGCTATTTCCAATTTGCTGTTGAACCTTTCTAGGGAATATTTTATTTCAGTTGTGCTTTTCATCTCTAGATATTTTTTATAGTTTCTATTTTTTTCTGTTTGATAGTTTCTGCTTTTCTGTTGAGATTTGTTAACTTACGTTCATTAAGATATTTTCCTTTAATTCTTTGAATATATTTTTAATTCTTTTTTTTTTTAAAGGATTATTTTATTTATATGAAAGGCAATCTTCCATCCTCTGGTTCATTCCCCAAATAACTGCGATGGTCTAGGCTGGGCCAGGCTGAAGCCAGGAGCCAGGAATTCCATCTAGGTCTCCCTCTTGGGTGCAGGGTATCCAAGTGCTTGGGCCATCTTCTGCAGCTTTCCCAGGAACACTAGCAAGGACCTGGATTGGAAGAGGAGCAGCTGGGACTTGAACCAGCTCTTTGATATGAGATCTGGCATCTTAGATGGCAGCTTAACTGTTGCACCACAGTGCTTACCCTGTTTAATTCTGTAAAATGTCCATAATAGCTGCTTTGTTGTTTGCCTGCAATATTCAATATCTGGGCCCACTGGGAATCAGTTTCTATTGACTGCTTAATATTCCTCCCCCACCCTTGGTATGGTTGTTTTTTCCTGTGTCTGTGTCTGTCTGTTTGGTTGTAAACCATATATTGTGTTTAATATGTTGAAGTAACTTGTGATTCTCTATGTTCTCTTAAAAGATTTTTCTTATTCTAGCTCTAGTAGGGAGTTAATTTCTGTGTGTGCAGACTATTCTCTCTTTTCTTCACATGGGGCTCAATCCAGCTGTAGGTGCTGCTTTCTTCTGAGCTTTCTGGGATGTCCCCAACCCTATCCTTCTGCTGTTTCACTCCCCAGTGGCAGCAAAGACTAAGGCTGGGTCAGGCTGAAGTCAGAATCCAGGAGCTTCATCTGGGTCTCCCATGTGGGTGGTGCAGCTTCCAGACCATTAGCATGGAGCTGGATTGGAAGTGGAGCAGCTGGGACTTGAACTGTCACCCCCATGGGATGTTGGTGTCACAAGTAGTGGCTTAACCTGTTATGTCACAGTGCTATGTTTATTAATTTGGAAGAATTTTTTGTAAGTTACAGTGCTAGACCTTGTGAGGCAGACAGAATCAAGAAATAGGTATCTGACTAAAAGAACTCGTAGCTTAAGAAGGAAGATGGGAGATGTTCAGAAATGTAAAATAGACATTGGATCATAATAGAAAGTAAACTACATTGAAGCTCAGTAATGGAAGAAAGTATTTGTGAATCAATAAAGCTTACTAGAAGTATGTAATTAAAAATGGGTTTTAAAGAATTGCGTATTTAAATATGGAATGTTGTATTTAAATATGAGTGAATTCTTCAGAGAGTTCATGGAAGACATGAAAAAAACTGTAGATTTCGGACCTTTTTGCGTCAACATAAACTTTTAACTCCATTTTCCTTTAATTTTTTTTTTTTTTTTTGACAGGCAGAGTGGACAGTGAGAGAGAGAAACAGAGAGAAAGGTCTTCCTTTGCCGTTGGTTCACCCTCCAATGGCCGCCGCTGCAGCCGGCGCACCGCGCTGATCCGATGGCAGGAGCCAGGATCCAGGTGCTTTTCCTGGTCTCCCATGGGGTGCAGGGCCCAAGCACCTGGGCCATCCTCCACTGCACTCCCTGGCCATAGCAGAGAGCTGGCCTGGAAGAGGGGCAACCGGGACAGAATCCAGCGCCCCGACCGGGACTAGAACCCGGTGTGCCGGCGCCGCAAGGTGGAGGATTAGCCTATTGAGCCACGGCGCCGGCCTTTCCTTTAATTTTTGAAGTAACCTCATATAAGGAACAAAGTAGAGGTGATAAACAAGCCAAAAATATTAGATTTCTTGTAGAAATAAGGAATAGGTCTGTTTAGCTGAAGGAGGTAACATGAGAATTATGAGAAGTGTTTGGATCCTTGAATCCTGAACTCTAGAGGACTGGACTTAATTTATGGGCAGGGGAGACTCATTGAAGAATGAAGTAATGTCTTTGGTTCATCTACAAAATAGCTGACATGAGGCTACAGAAACTGGTATTGCAGACATGGGTTTGATTTTTGTAGATAGAGGTTAGGATTTAGGAATATAGCACACTCTAGTTTATAGAGAAGGATTTCCAGTTGTAGATTTTGCTTCTTAAGACTGGAGCAAAAGAAAATATCAAGTACATGCAGTTAATGTAAAATGTTGCATTTATGGAGATATTCTATGATTATATGTAAATATATATATATTATATTATTATTTTATTTATTTATTTTGTCTCTCTTAACCAAACTTAGTAATTGAGCTTGCTGGGCAAAGACCTTAAATGGGGTACTAAACTGACTTCATGACTATCCAGGGCCACCAAGTGCTCCTGCAGAAGATCGATCAGGCACTCCTGACAGCATTGCTTCCTCCTCCTCAGCAGCTCACCCACCAGGAGTCCAGCCGCAGCAGCCACCGTACACAGGAGCTCAGACACAAGCAGGTCAGATTGAAGGTAAAATAGAGTTACACACGCAGAAATGTTTATCGGAGCATTGCTGGGTAGCAAACAGCTTACATATGCAGTTACACTGTGAACACAGCTGTGAAGAACTTCGATTTACTGAGTTGGCATGATTTGTTGTTAAAAAAGATATAATTTCTTTTTGATTATTGAAGAGAAAACAAAACAAAAATTATAAAACATTTATATGATATAATTATAGAATGGAAGATTAGGAAGGAAGCATACCAGTCACTATAGCTAGTAGTGACCTTGGTGAAGAAAGTGAAATTCAGAAGGGGGGCTTTACATTTTATTTTGCATAATATTTACATGTTACTGTATTTCCCTCTCTTGTCCCTTCAGCATCTCTGCATTATTTTTGTAATTTAAAAGGATGTTAAGAGTAGAAGTGTAAATGTCTTTAAGTATACTCTTTTTGGAAAGCCTTTTCATGTTTTTATCCAGTTAGCAAAATGACTTTAATAGAAAAAAAAGTAATATTTTTAAGCCAAATTGCTCTAAAATAGTGTATGTTGGATTAACAGGTTGAGGTCTCGGTTTTGATCACCTGTCACAATAAAATGTGAAAACTGGACTAAACCACTGGTTTTATAAGGATATTTTTAGTCCTGAATGAAATGTAACTCGGAAGCTCAGAATTTAAAACGAATGAAGGGGTCATTGTTGTGGTTGAAGAGGATTCAGAGGCCACAAGCCCAGAGTAGGCCCCTGAGGTCCCACACTGGAAACTGTGAGGCACTGCAGAGCATGGCAAATGTCAGTGCTGAATACTTACTTTAGGGTGCCTTCCAGATGCCAGAACACTATTTTGGTGAATTGCCCACGGACCCTTAAAAACACATGCCACTTCGAAACAGTGACCAGGTAGTGCTCCCAAGTATTTGTATAAGGGGTCAGGTGGTGGTATGGTAAGTTTTCAGCACCAGAAGCAAGTGATTGAGGTTATCAGTAACATTAAAAACCAAACCAAACCAAACCTAAAATGAATTGGCTGCTTTGCGAATAGAATCTTGTCCTGTGGTGATACTTTCAGAGCTGTTCTTTGAACAAATGCTAGTCATTAAACACTAGCAGGTGGCATTTTGCTTATAAATCAGTGCTCTGGGAAGAATTTTCAATTTTTTAACTAACTCAGTTACAGTCTTCCTCTGCACCAAAATGCAACTGTCGAAACTAGAACAACAAAGCGGAACTGTAGCAGGTGGGGATGAAACAGGGAAGCAAAAGCAGAGTTTGGATACGAGGAGAGTTTAATACTAACTCAGGTGAACTAAAACTGTTTAAAAACAGTACTGCTTTAATTCAGTTTATATTATTGTAGAATGCAGTTGGAAGGGTTACAAATAAGGTTGCAGTATCTCAGATTATGAGAGGTTGGTTTTAATTGAGTATTTTCAAATAGGTAAGAATTGTAAAATGAAGGTTTATATAATAAAAATTCTCTCCTGCCTCTTTTGCCAGAGGCATCAAATTAATACCATTTGATAGTCATTGAATTTGCATAGATGGCATCAATAGTTTGCCTTGCTACAACTGTTACTTTTAGGTTACATTAAAACATACAATATAAAAATTAGCTATGTGACATCAAAAGATTAATAGCTGATTTCATTCTAAATCAGGCTTCTGAAAGAGTTAAATGGGTACTATGTGTAGTTTAAAATTTTCTCTTAGCTACATTAGAGTTTTTAAAAAGTTAATTTTAATTAGGTTTTATTCAGCTCAACATATGTAGTACATCAACATGTAATCCCTGTTAAAAAGTTATTAAATTGCATTTGGCACTGTGTATTAGGAATCTGGATATGAGACTGATTTTGAAACAGTTCAAACACATTGCAGCACATTTCAGGTGCTCAGTAGCCACTTGATGTGAGACTAATGTATTGGATAGTACAGTTTAGGGATGTAGTAGTAATTTGTAGATTCCTTAAATGCATTGTAGGCTATTTTACTGAATACTTTTTGATGTATAAAGAGTACCTGACATCATTAGTTGCTTAGATTAACTGCTGGTTGTAATTTGAATAGAATTATAGACATAGAAATGTATTACTTATAATTGATTATATAGCAGTGTTTTACAGGATGTGATAATTCAAAATAAAACAATTTTGAGTTCTTAAATCCCATAAAAGGGACCTTGGAATTGTAAAGTTTTCCCTTCCAAGACTGTGGTCTTAATGTGTTGTTTAGTGGAAAGAATTAATAAAACATTGCTTTTACCTTGTGATAGAGATGTTCAGGGAAATGTGTCCTTAAGCAGTTTCATTGTTGTGTGAGTATCATATTATGTTCTTCTACAAACTTAGATGGCTATGATGTCGCTATGTGATACGTATAATCTTGGGAGACATTATTGTGTATACAGTCTGTTATTGACTGAAACATTATGTAATGCATGATTATTGGACATTGTTAAAAAAAACCAAAATGGACAATGTTACTGTTCTTCAGATAAAGCCAGCGCCATTCTTATTGGAAAAATGCATGTAGTTGGGTAGTTGCCAAAAACATAAGTAGTAATAAGAGCAGTAAATATCATCAGAGACCAGAAAATTACTTGGGAAGCTTTTGTTCTTATGTGAGGACCTCTCCATAGAGCTGCTGAATGACCTCATGACAGGGCAGCTTCCACGAGAGAATAAATGAATAAGGAAGAGAGTAAGGTAGATGATGACAATTTTTATGATCTGTCCTAAGAAACATCATTTTCATTTCTCAGGATTTTCTTGGTGTACAGGTCATCCCTGCTTAGTGTGGGAGGGGCAAACAAAAGTCGATGCACATGTTTATTGTGTTCTTCGGTCATTTTTGTATTATGGAGTCAAATATTTCTAATTTCTGAGGATGCAAAGGGTACCTACCCATTTCCATGGAGATTGGCTAGCACTCTGTAAAAGTACATTGTATTTTTTTTAAAGATATATTTATTTCAATGGCAGAGTGGTAGAGCAGGAGATCTTCATCTGTTGTTTTTCTCCCCAAATGACCACAACTTCCCAGGGAAGCTAGGGGCCCTAAATTGCATCCAGGTCCTCCATGTGGTGGCAGGGTCCCCAATACTTGGGCCGTCATCCACTGCTTTCCTAGGTGCATTATTAGGGAGCTGAATCTGAAGCAGAGCAACAGGGACACACTTTGGTATGTGGCACTTTGATATCTGGTGGCCCAAGTGGCAGCTTAAGCTGCTGTACCACAATTCTGGACCCTACTTTCTGATTTATCTTTAAAATTTCTTTATTTGAAAGGCAGAGTGACAAGAGAGAGCTTCATTTTCTTGTTCACTCCACATGGTTGCAATGACTGGGACTGGACCAGGCCAAGGCCAGGGGCTAGGAAGTACATTCAGGTCTTATACATGGGTGGCAGGGGCCCAAGTACCTGGGCCATCTAGATCTACCTTCTCAGGTGTCCCAGGGATCTGGATTGGAAGTAGAGCAGCTGGGACTGCAACCAGCTGCTCTGATATGTGATGCTGGTATCATAAGCAATGGCCTAACTCGCTGCACTACAACACCAGCCCCACAAAGTGTATTTTCAGTAGGTTCACTGTCATTTACCCTGTACCCATTTTCCCCTTAGGTCTTGCTCTTTAAAATTATTATTTTCTTTGTTACTAATTCTCTTTTAAAACATACATGAAACTTAACATAGCATGTTTTTTATTACTCAAAACATTGCTTGCTATGAACAGTGTCTGTACCTTGTGTTTTTCATGTACTATATCCTTCAAATCTCTCAAAGATGTAAAGATTTTTTTCTTTTAAAAGAAGTGTATACAGACACCTTTTAATTAGCTTGTGAAATACTGTTACAGAGTCCCATTTGGACTGGGATGAAGTGGGTTTAAAGTTAGCAAAAGAGAAACTCTGCTGATACAGAAATCAACCTCTAGTTTTTAACGGTAGAAGTGGTATTTTCAGAATGTTTGTGGCAGTTTAGGAAAACTTGGCACAAACAAGGAAGCTATCCTAGCTAGCTTTAAGAAGCATTGAACCCTGTACAATAAAATTTGAGAGGCAGAGAGAGGAGCCAAGAGCTCCTGTCTGTTAGTTCACTCCCCAGATGCTTGCGAAGAGTCATAGTTGGGGGACCAAGAATCAAGAACAACATGGGCCTCCTGCATAGTTGGCAGAAACCCAGCTACTTGAGCCACAGCACTGCCTCCCACATTATCAGGAATATGGAATCAGGAGGTGGGCATTACACTCCACTGTGAGATATGGGCATCCTAACCAGCTTTTTAACTGCTAGGTGGACACCACCCACCCACCCCTGTCCTCCACATATATTTTTATGGAGAACAATAATTAGAGTGTTGATGAAAGCAGTCTACTACATGGAGCTTTAACCTCAACTTTTTTGATGATGTCTAAGTTAATATTTATATTAAATGAGAGAACATGAACAGAATCACTTAAACTAAAGCTTTGGGGTTATACCTGGGTTCCAGTGATGGTTCTTAGCTGCAATTCTGTTCTTAGTTAACTGACCTCAGGTTAATTACTTGGTTTTTCTGAATCTGAAATAGGGATTATGAATGAGGTTAAAGTATACCTATTTCTTCCCCTTGATTATGTTCTGTACCTGCTTTTTAGTTTAGATTCCGATCACTTCTGTTGTAGTATTTAGTCTGCATTAAGGTAGTATCTAAATTAACGTCTGTGCTGTGCTGTTTTATGCTGTTGCCTAAAGCATTAAGAAAGCATTGAAGAAACTTCTGTGAGTTTATTTTGTTGTACTTTGGAAGAGGATTAATAGCTTAAAAAGTAGTTTAGCAGATTTTACTTTTATATTAAACAGCCCAGCTGTTTGGAAGTAATCTGGATATAGATTCCTTTAGTGTAGCCCAGAGGGCGGCACTCAAAGACACCTTTGGGGCTGAGCCACCAGTGCAGTTGAGTAGGCACCATTTTTTGTCTGCCCACTTAATGGTGCCTGATACAAATTTACATTTTTGTTTTGGATATCTGTCTCACTTTCTGCTACAAGTATATGATTTATCAGTAGCTTTTTTTTTTTTTTTGACAGAGTTAGAGAGAAAGGTCTCCCTCTTCCGTTGGTTCAACCCCAGATAGCTGCTACGGCTGGCTCGCTGCGCTGATCCAAAGTCAGGAGCCAGGTACTTCCTCCTGGTCTCCCATGCAGGTGCAGGGCCCAAGGACTGGGCCATTCTCCACAGCCTTCCCGGGCCACAGCAGAGAGCTGGACTGGAAGAGGAGCAACCGGGACAGAATCCGGCGCCCCAACCGGGACTAGAACCCAGGGTGCTGGCGCCACAGGTGGAGGATTAGCCAAGTGAGCTGCGATGCCGGCTATCAGTAGCTTTTGATTAATAGCAGACAGTTAATGAATATTTCCCAGAATAAACCAATATGAGTTTTCTGAAGATTTAAAGAATCTAGTACTAGTAAGATATTCAAATTTCAGTACTGCAAACATTAGATCTAGTTAATCCACCATTAAAACAACTGCAAAGTAGGAGAGATGAAAAAGACATAAACCAATGAAAAATTTTCTCTGTGGCTTACTGGCCTCAGATAGGATCAGTACTTTAATGTGCCTCTTCTCCTTGTTTATGCTTTTCTAGGCCAGCTGTACCAACAGTACCAGCAACAGGCTGGTTATGGTGCGCAGCAGCCGCAGGCCCCACCTCAGCCACCTCAGCAGTATGGTGTGCAGTATTCAGGTGAGCAGGTGTCAAAAGGGAGTTGGCTCATAGTTTTTGATCTGTTTCTATATTCACTAACTTTTAAGCTCTTCGTCTTCCTTGGTTTATAATGCTTAACATTGTCATAGAGGGTATTAAGTAATTATTTAATAGAGAAAATGATACTTGATTTTTTAGTTTTATGTAAATATTTCCTTGTAAATCAACATTTTAATTTTCCAGTGGGCAGATCAAACTCTGCAGCAACCGGCAGTAAAAAAGTTTTTGATAGAAAATTAACCGTTGTAATGCGATCAGTTTACCTCTTAGGTGACTTAAAACTGCAAAAAGAAAGATTCCACCACCTGATTTAAGTATAACACACAATCCCAGTATACTCTTAGTATCCATAGAACTCTTAACAGTTCTCACATGTGTGGAAAGATGACCTTATTTAATCAATACTAAATTCAGCTGCTTAGGTTTTTAAATCTCTTGAAACCGTATAGGTGTTTATGGACCAAAATTGGGCCATATAAAATGTAATTCTGGCAACTAAGAACATTAGTTGTTTTAAGTAGGATCCTGGGTATCTTTTTTGTTTTACCATTTGTCAGTTGATGATGGTCTACGTATTTAAATATGCTAAATCTTTTTAAAATAGCTTTAAATTTTTATGTGAGTTTGTGTCCAGTTCTTGTTTTATAGCCAGAGATTTGAGTGTCAGAATTTCAGCTGTAATTCAAAATAATTTAATTTTGTCAATTCTATTTTATGGTGTTTTATCAATTAGAGCAGAGGTCAGCAAATCTAGCCCACCCGGCAAATCTGGCTTGTTACCTATTTTGTGAATGAAGGGTTTTTGTTTTTGTTTTTGTTTTGTTTTTGGTTAAAATACTTGGCTATTCTCATTCATTTCTGTACTGTTTCTTGGTATCTTGGTATTATAATGGCAGAGTAGTTACAACAGACCTTGTGGCCTAGGAAGCCTAAACTTTATCCTGTCACCCTTTTGAGAAAAAAGTTTGCTGACCTCTGCCTTAGGCCATAACATTCTGTATTAATGGAGTCTGACATACTTTAACACATACAGTAACTTTATTTGGATTATACTTGGCTGTAGAGTGATTTAAACTGTAGCTTCTCATTTTTAATTGTATAAAATAGATGGAATAAGTTTAAGCTTGGATTATATTAGGGGAAAAGTTGACTTACGAGTTTTTAAAAGTAAATATCAAAGTGTTACAAGTGGTGATTGTAAAAAGAGTATCAGAGTTGAAGAGACCTATTCATCATCTAATGCAGGGGATTTCAGCTCTCATTGGACTTCAGAGTCACTTGGGGAAGTTTATGGTACCTGGGTCCCACTCCCAAAGATACCATTTCATTAGGTTGGGAGTTGGGAGTCAGCCTTTGGTATTTTAAAAGGGTCACAGCTTATTCTAAGTGCAGCCAGGGTTGGGGATCACTGATCTTATCCTACCAACTCATTTTGTAAATGAGGCAAGTAGGGATCTAAGAGGTGGTGACTTACTGAAGGACACAGAGCTGTACTAGAATGATCTCTTTCCTAGATTACTCACTTACTAAAAATGAAATCCCATAGGATTTCCATTTCTTGCAGTTTCTCGTGTTCTTCATGAAAGGCTATTTTATTTTGCTGTGGGAGAGACTGTAGACGAATAGAAGCATTGTCACAATGTAATCAAAAGACAAGTAGACTGCTGATGAAATGACATCTCAGCCTTCTCCTGAGCAAACAAAGGATTTACTTACTTTCAGATTGTTTAAAAAACACAACAGGTGGGATTTCAGGTGGCAACAACAAAGGCAGGAATTGATTTTAGTTCAGTTTTAGATGCTACCATAGCAGGAATGCCTTAGGTACTTGGTTTACTTACAACTAAGCTTGTTCTTAATACTTTTAATTAGGATCTCAGTCTGAGTAGAATTTAGTTCTTTTCAAATTATTATCTTTGTATTTCTGATCTCATTAGTCCTATTAACTTGAATTTCATTGAGAGATATGGAAATAGTCAACTAAATACTCTGCTTGGAAACTAAGTGGTGGTAACATTTGATACTGTTTGCCAGTTTCCCTCTGTGACCTTTTCCAGTTTTGTTCATGGACTATGTCATAAAGGTTTCTTTCATGAGTAAATTTTGAACCCAGGTTCAAGGTGAGTTCAGAATATACTCAAATTCATTCAATCCTTTTTTTTTTTAAATGCAGGGTTGTACATATTTTAATAATTTTCTTATGTATCTGGTATTTAATGCTGACAGGATTCCAGTCAATGGAGAGGTTTCATTGCAAGTAGCTGCAGGTGTGTTTCATGGTAGAGATAAAAGTTTTCAGTGAAGCAGACTTGTTTTTAAAAATTACATCCTAGTAATTGATGATTATGGCTAATGAGTGTGTGGGGCAGTAATGGTAATGCATTTGTGTGTGTTACACTAAGTCCAAAGTTTGAGTTTTTAAAAAGCATCACATTTAAAATCTCAAAGAAATATTCAAGGACTGAAAGTACTTGTATTTCTTAAATGGCTTAGATTTTTAACAAGTGAATAAACTTTTAGGCATCTCAATTAAGATGCATTTGTAGTATTTCTTTTAAAAATACTCATTCTCTACAATGTGTTCGTATTTGATACTGTTGTTAAATAGGTCTCCCTCAAAACCTTAATGACTGTATTTTTTGTATTATTCGTCTTCCCAGAAAGTATAATTCCTTCATTTATCATTTGAGCACCTATTTTATCTAGACATGCTAGCACATGAATTTGCTCTCTGGGATTACATAGTCTTGAAACAGTTGTAATGACAATATATATAGTAGTTTCAAATGCCTCTTTGAAAAGTACTTGGTCTTGAAATAATATATGATGGAGCTACCACTCTGTTTCTGTACATTTTTGGTCCATGACAGTAAACTAATTCTGGAAAACTTTCATCAAAAGAGAAATAAGATTTGTTGTGTTATTTTACCTTTTCAGCCAGTTATAGTCAACAGACTGGACCCCAGCAGCCTCAGCAGTTCCAGGGATATGGCCAACAACCAACTTCTCAGGCGCCAGCTCCTGCCTTTTCTGGTCAGCCTCAACAACTGCCTGCTCAACCGCCACAGCAGTACCAGGCGAGCAGTTATCCTCCACAAACGTACACTACCCCAACGTCTCAGCCTACCAATTACACTGTGGCTCCTGCCTGTCAACCTGGAATGGCTCCAAGCCAACCTGGGGCCTATCAACCAAGACCAGGCTTTACTTCACCCCCTGGAGGTACCGTTGCCCCTCCTACAAGTGGGCCCAACCCTTATGTACGTTCTCGTCCTCCCTTTGGTCAGAGCTATGTCCAGCCTGGACCTGGTTATCGATAAGGAGGCTCAGCTACACTGATGAATGTAGCTGATTGCTATCCCAAAAGACTCCAATACTATTTTATTTTAATTTGTATTGAAGTTCAGAAATTTAAAAAAGCAGAGCATTTTTTATAATTGTCGCTGTTAATTGAAGTATAAATTGCTGGAATATAAAACAAGACCAAAATGAAAGTTTTTTCCTTCCCTGCTTAAAAAATGTAGCAGCTTCCTAGTTATTTTGGAACACTATTCTTACATGTGTGTAAAGTGATTGACCTTCTAGCTTCTCTTGTCCAGAGGATATTAAAATGCTGGGTTGAGATGTAGCCATCTTACTTGGCTTTTTACTAATAACTTGATGTACTTAAAGGTAGAGCCCTTTGAAAAGACAATTAGATATTATGTATAAATGTAACATTGATAGGTTAATAAAGATGATTGAATCCATTAGTTGTCTTGTCATTTGTTTAAAAAATATTTTCCAGAATTGTTTTAAAATGAAGTATAAAAATTTCCCTTCTGAGAGTACTATTTAGTGTCCTCTCTGAAAGGTACTGCAATGATCTGTTTAAAAAACTTTTTGAACACAATAGGCTATTAAAGTTATATGAGAAGGTTAGTAGATCCTGAAAATTTATTTTCCTTTAGATACTAATGAATCATTCAGAAATTAAAAAAAAACTACATCTTTTTATTGCAGAGTTTATACTTGTTTGAAAAATACAAAATGCAGCACATTGGAAGGTATAAGCAAAGGGAGAAGTTCTTAAGGAGTGAGGGCAACAATGCACCATCCCTATCCTCTCCCCAGGTGAAGGAAAGCAATACAATTTTTTAATGAACATGACTCTGATTTTCCTTACAGCTTGAGTTAAACAATTACAAACACACCCCCGATACATTCATTCGTAGAAGTCTTACAAAGTAAGTATCTTGGTAAGGATCTCATCATACATTTTGTGTGTGTGTGTGCTCAGACTTCACATTCAGCCTCAGTAGAATCATACGAACAGCTGTGCAGAGGGATAGTTTAACAAAGTATATTCAGACATAATTACATATTTACGGGTAGAGAACACAGCGTATCTTTAGAAACTACACCAAATTTCAGAGGAAATGTGATTTAAAAAATTAGTAATTCGCAGATATTTTAGAGAAGTATATATTAGTAATGCATGTGTAACTATTTAAACTCCTTCAGAAAAGCTATTTAGCTGTTAAAAAATTTGAAATTTAAATAAACATGAATAGTAAGACTTTTTTTCCCTTTTATATGTATAGGCTGAAGATAATTTGATCCAATAAGTTAAATGATGTAGAGATTTATGGAATTAACTCACAAAAAGGAAGTGTACACATCAGTAAGATTTTTATGTTTTTGCTGTTAATTCTGTTATAAAAGTATTTCAAAACATTATTACAACAGTGTGATAAATAATATACAAATGATCTCTTAAAATACCATGAACAGGGAGCCAGCTTCCCCAAAAAATGTTATTCTGTTAACATCAATATTTTGCTTTCTTAAAATGACTTTGTAAAACCTGATAAATATTCTTAGCAATCTTTTCTAACAATAAACATCTAATATTGCTATCAATTAGATTGTAGACTTTTATACATAGTAAACAAAATAGCTTTGAATGAACATCACAAAAACTGTAGTGTTCCGATGATTGTTTTTTGCCATGATGAACCAGAAGGAATTTTTGATCATCATTGCAGCATCTACCATTTCCCAGGAATTGTAGTCCCACATTCATACCACTGGACATAGTTGATTTGAGTGTGACCACCTATCTCTCCAAATTGGACAGGCTCTTGGCGAACTGCTCTAAAATAACCTGAGAGAGAAGAAACAAAATTTGAACAGCCAAAGTATATTTTTGCCCTCACATCTCATACATGGAAGGATGTTAACTGATAGTAACTCTAGGTGAAGCCAGAGAACTTAGAAAACTGCTAGCAGCAGAAGTCCCGGGGCTCCTTCCTGAGGTAGTTTGACTGAAGTCATGGGATGTGAAAAGTTGTTGGCTGACCTTTGCCTTAGCAAGTCAGGAGTGCGAGGGCTGGTAGTGTCTGCCAGTAGTTTAAAGCAGCAACCAGTACATTCACAGATCTTAAAAAAAGGTGACTTAAGTGCCAATGAAAAAATTTGTTACTGGAAAGTCTAAAGAACTCCCTAGTTACTTCTGAGTAATACGTACACTCTTCAGACAGTTATTAAGTGCATTTTCAGTCCTTGAGGCCTCATTTTGCAGCATAGTACTAATGTGTCTTTAGCAAGTCACAGGGATTACTCATTTTCCAGAATTATTCTAATGATATCTGTACAATTACTTATTAAAAAAAATTGAGTTAAAAGTAATGCAGTATGCTCAGTAATGCAAAAATAATTTAAATGTGATATTTTATAACTCTCTGCAAATTCAGATGTTCTCCAAGTAGAACTCACTGAACATCTGTGTAATTTCCCTCAGCTCTGTTTGAGTTGAGTAACTTACAGATAGGCTCCAATTAGCTAGAAACAAATGAAGACTTTAGTTTATGCAGTTCTTTATAAAGCAGTTTTCCTCAGCTTAATTTATTTTTCCTTCTGTGTTAATCTGTGAAGGCCTTTTGCTTACGAGGAGGATCAGTAACCATACCTTCTTTGGTGGGTAACTGGTCAGAAGTGAGCTGCTGGCCTGTGCGCCCATCTAAAAATGAATCCACAAACTGGCAGTGGTCTTCTCCGTGGCCCCTCTGATCACCAATGTTATAAAACTTTCCTGAGGGAACCAGAAACGAAAAGGACAATAAAATGCCGCATTCTGTGACATGTGACAGTTCTGAATCAAATTCTCACAGAATTATCTTTCTTGTTCTTGCGTGTTTGTTTTTTCTCCAAATCCACCTAGTTGAAGTCACCAGTGTGTTTTTTGACTGAACCGTGGAATAGTCTCCCAACTGCTGTCCCTGATTTCACTCTTGCTTATCTATGGTCTTTATCCCCTCCACTTCTCAGAAGTTAGTCATTTTTAAAGAATGCAAGTAGAGGGCTGGTGTTGGGGTGTAGCTAGTAACGTTGCCGCTTGTGATGATATGTGCAAGTTGTTCATATCCCAGCCGCTCCACTTCCTATTCAGCTCCTGCTAATGGCCTGGGAAAGACAGCAGAAGATGGCCTAAGTTCTTGGGCCCCTGCCACCCACGTGGGAAACCCAGAAGAAGCTCCTGGTTTCGGCCAGTCCCAGCCCTGGACATTGTGGCCATTTGAGGAGTGAGCCAGCAGATGGAAGCTCGCTCATGCATTCTAATTCTTTCAAATTAATAAATCTTTAAAAATAAATAAAAATGCAAGTCAGGTAATACTTTTTTTTTTTTTGACAGAGTGGATAGACAGAGAGAAAGATCTTCACCCTCCAATGGTCACTGCAACCGGCGCACTGCGCTGATCTGAAGGCAGGAGCCAGGTACTTCTGGTCTCCCATGCGGGTGCAGGGCCCAAGCACTTGGGCCATCCTCCACTGCACTCCCGGGCCATAGCAGAGAGCTGGACTAGAAGAGGGGCAACCGGGACAGAATCCAGCGCCCCGACCAGGACTAGAACCCAGTGTGCCGGTGCTGCAGGCGGAGGATTAGCCTATTGAGCTGTGGCGCCGGCCCTGTAAGAAATTCTTGTTCATTTACAGGTAAATACATTTGTCTCTCCCTGCTAAGAAGGTAAGGAGAGGTAAGCCATGAAAGCACGAAGGTGTCTGGTGTGATTCTCTGGCCCTAACACACCACTTCTGGCACCAAGCAGATAGACAATATCTGCTGAATGACATCAAATATCTACCTTTCTTTTTGGGCCCAGGCATATATATTTGTTAAATTTTTTATTGTATGAATATAGGATATTACAACCTTATCGGCTGTGGAGCCAGGAGTTAAAACCCTTCTGGCATCTTATAGCTGTCCTAATCCTTGCATGATTATTATTGTTAGATTCATATTATCAGTAGGCTTTTTTTTTTTTTTTTATTTTTTTATTTTTTTGACAGGCAGAGTGGACAGTGAGAGACAGAGAGAAAGGTCTTCCTTTGCCGTTGGTTCACCCTCCAATGGCCGCCGCTGCAGCCGGCGCACCGCGCTGATCCGATGGCAGGAGCCAGGATCCAGGTGCTTTTCCTGGTCTCCCATGGGGTGCAGGGCCCAAGCACCTGGGCCATCCTCCACTGCACTCCCTGGCCATAGCAGAGAGCTGGCCTGGAAGAGGGGCAACCGGGACAGAATCCGGCGCCCCGACCGGGACTAGAACCCGGTGTGCCGGCGCCGCAAGGTGGAGGATTAGCCTATTGAGCCACGGCGCCGGCCTATCAGTAGGCTTTTCTTGGGTGACAAAATTGAACTTGAATGTCGTGGTGCCTCTGTACTTAATTTTGCCATGAAATTTGCTGCAAATTTCATTTCTGTTACTTGCTTTCTAATAACATGTCTTAAAACATCGTTTCTAGGACAGTACCAATTTCAGTAAAGTCTTGCTGAGAGGAAAATTTGTGTTTACATTACCCTTGGTGCTTGGAAGTTTCTAAGAAAAGGTCAAGTTATAGATTATTATAAAACATTCCCTGAAGATAAAGGCTCAAAGCAAACCTGGTAAACCCTACTTACCTGTGAGGGAGTCGCTCAGGTAAATCTTGTATCTGAGAGAGTTGCACAACTGCACTCCTACAAATTTTTTATACCACGTCCTTTTGACATACTGTTTGCCTTTACATTCTGAGTAAGAGTCTGAATTAAAGGGCCTTTCAGTCCAGATTGCATCTCTTCCTGCTGCATGAGGAAAACATAGTTGAGTATCTGACTCAGAAGTACTAAAGAGCTGTTCTAAAAACTTTTTAAAAAAATTTGCAAAATTGTCAACTTGCTGACACCTACTTTTTTCCAATACTATATATGGGAACCAAAAATATTATGAAGTTTTAAATAAGTAAACTGCAAAATCAGTTTTGTCCATATGAGGTAGATCTCAGGGCATGTGGAAAGCCTTTGCAGTGCTAGATGTGGACAGTGCCCTTTAGAAACAAACTTAGGTTTCTTTTTTATAAGTATATTAGAAAATTTCAACAGCTGATTTAATGTGACTTACTACTAACAGTAAAAGTGAAGATGCTATATCTTGATTTAATCATGAAACGATTTGAGATGGCTTAGTGCATGAGTAAAAGTAAACTTCAAATTACCCATCTTATTCAAGAACAAGCTAGCTCTCAGTGTGTTAAACATTCGTGTCTGACAGAGGATGAAAGGGAGAGAACAGTGCAATCGTGATTCAAATTCCACCATGCCTGCTTAATGGCATCTGTTTAGAAAATCATCTAGTTGTGTTCCCATTTAGGCAGCTACTTACCAGAAACTGGCTCGCTTACTCTTGGGTCGGCTGTGGAGAAATAAGCAAACAACAGAAGTCAGACATTACGA